TTACAGCTTATTGAAAGAAAGCCACAAAATTTAGCAAGGTTATAGTTAAACCACATTTTAGCAAACAGAAAACTGAAGTAGAAATGGGAAAAAAACTAAAGAGGTAACAATTTGTTTTACCTTGGTTTCCAAAAAGTCAATAACACGTTATCATTACTCATAAGAAAGGTGCAGAAAAGGCAGATACTGATCAATATATAGGAGGGAATGCATTACAAATACTACAGTTTTCTCCTATTATAAAATATACATTTCTCAAATCCTGTATGGAAACTAACTGATAATACATCTTAACAATCACAAAACTACTATCAACTGATAATCCACCTCTGGCTAAGGGTCATCTGGGCAGACAAAGTTTCTAATTGTGTACAGAGAGAAACATGCTCTAGCTCTTGAATACAAGTATTTAATTTCAGACACAAGTCAACCCCCATAGCTGACGTGGGTGCATCAGGTTCTTCTACTTTGACAGCACCAACATCTAGCTAAGTCAGCTTGCCCCAATTCCCTAAGCACTAAATAAACAACCTTCTGATGATTATGTGGTTCCTGATGTACATCGATCTTAGGGACAGAATGTTCTGAGCAGCCAACACTAAAAATCTGTTCTACTTGGTAATTACATTTCTTAGAGTAACAGACTCTCATTCTTTTTTTATTTTCAAAAAAGAAAATCCAACCAATTTAATAACATGTTATGTCCATGTGCAAACTTAGAAATGCTCTAATGCCCAAAGAAGGCTCTAATATCCAAAGATGCTTGTAATACACTTACTCTTTCACCTTTTAAAATGTAACTGGTCAACAAGGGTCAAAGAGTTACACTTAGCCCACTGTCAGTACTGGATCAAATTCCTTTGACATGAACCTGTTAGAATGAAGCTACCCCTCCAATAAGGCTTCTTTCCCATTCCCTCCCTTCTCCCTCCCCTCAGGCTTATCCCCAAACCCAACAATGCCCAAGCCCTTAACACAAGCCTGAGAAGGACACAGTGGAGAGGGAAAAGCATGGAGATACACATCTCTGAAAGTAAATACGAAGGACACAGTGGAGAGGGAAAAGCATGGAGATACACATCTCTGAAAGTAAATACGTGTTATCCTGCTTGATACCACACCTCAGGGGTCAATATCCTAGTCTTCTGCACCCGGAGATGGCAGCATGATAGTTCTGGTTTAAAGGCAAGAAGAGCCACAGTTTGAATGGAGAAATCAGGGAAAAAAATCTTCAGTCTGAGATATGATGAAAAATGAATGTAAAATGTTAGCATTGAAAACAGTCATAATCATTCTTCAAAAAAGCACTCTCAAGGGAACAGAGCAGAGAAATTAACCAAACAGAGGCATAAACACAAAATTTGCCTGAACTACATCAATTTGCTAAATCTACACTTAGAATCTCTTTTGAAACAAGGCAAGTAAAATATGAATTTAAAAATAGAAAACCAATTTCCTGAGCCTTAAATATTATGTTTGGGTGACAATTTATAAGAGAACTATACTCCATGTTTGTAAAATCACCTTGGAACACATTTGACTGGAATAGACCCACTCAAATTCCTAAAATCAGTAGATAAAAACAAAATAGCAGAATATCCTTTAGTTCTAATTTCCTCAGTTTCCAAGAAACTGTCATCCTTTCTAAAGAAAGGACACTGGCTCCTCTCTGCCCACACGAGCTGCCACAATCACAGCTACTATACTAGAAGGGTGCCCTTCCTAAAATGTTTGAGTGGCAACCTCTGATGTGAAAGCATCAGGACACCAGAGTGTGGCTGGGCCGGCCTTGTGTCTTCCCTGGACCAGGCAGTCACACATCTGTCTCACATAGCACTTCCCAAAGTCCGGGTGATTCAGTGCCAAATAATACCAGGTATGGGACATCAAGATTCATGCAATGCACATAGGGCTGTTCCACAATAAGACTGGTGCTTTCTCAGTCTCTGTTCAACAACGGTCCGAAAAGTCTTGGCATCCAGCCATACACACCCAGGGTCATCTTGTCACCACAGCAACGACAATTACCATTCTGTATTAAATGCCCATTGGTTCACGACCTGGTGTCATGGAAATGAAACGATCACCCCCAAAAGACACAGAAGCACAAAAAGACTACTCTCAATGGTCTCTCAGAGGTGGGAATAAAGAGAGAAGTGTGAGGGAGGGAAAGGGAAGCAGAATGGGAAGGGAGGAGAGGATGAGAAAAGAGCAGATGGACACTAGTCAGGCCTGTGCCCCTGCTACAGGGTGGCTTTTTATTACCCAAGTTCACCTCATTGCCACCCCAGGTCAAAAAGTCACTCAGCACCCCAGTTCAACATGGCTTGATCAGAATATTTTCTAGATGTTCACAATACAGATCTGGGTGAAGGAACAAGTTTGTTCTTATTGTCTCTATTTTCTTAAGTATCTCCAATGAATAATTTTTAGAAGAAAAGTAGAAAAAATTTAAATCAGGTTCTTAAACTTCACCTACAGTATCATCCAATTTGATGTACAGACTATATAGGTATATTGATAGCTAGTGTCTGGAAGGGTATCCACAGTTGGAATTCAATGCTTCTTTCCCCAGTTGCCACAATCCCTTATCCAGTTCTTTCTGCTGCTTTCCACTCTTACACTCTGCACCTTCTCTCTGGGGATCACATTCACTCCCATGTCCTTAGTTATCATTTCTTCTCTGGTGGCCCCCAAATCTATGTCTGCAGCCTGGTCTTTTCTGAGCACCAGATCAATACACTCAAATGACATTAGGGTATATCCATCTAGATGTCACACAGGTATCTCAAAGTCAATTTATTTTAAATGGATAAGGCTTTCCCTCCCAAATCCTTGTTTCCTGCCTAATATAGAGCAAGAAAAAATTTTAATTCCTTTACCTTCATTCACCCTTAAAACTGATGTCAAAGGAGCTCCAACATGTGCATGATTCAATAGTCACCATACCCAACAACTTTAAGCTGATCAATCCTTGGTCCTTTTGTCTACTATAGGCAACATTTGAGTAAGTATATGGAAGCCTGGAGCTAAAACCAGATCATAACTGAACAGAGATTTTACCCTTTCTTGGCCTCATGTATAAAGTAGGATAACATCCCCAAACTGACCAATGATACATTGTAAGGGCAGGTGACATCATGTCTGATAAAACATTTTGAGTACTTAGAAAAAAGAAAAACCTATTTCTTTAAGAAACTATGGTTAACAGTTGCCTTTGCAGGAATGACATCACTCTACACAGTAGTCACTTAATAAATGCTAACCTTTACTGTTGTTATTACTTATTAAATGATGCTGACACTTGGCAAAATGCCCCCAGCAAACACAAAGGTCAACCAGAACAACTATTGACCCTGAATTCTAGGGAACTAAGTGTGCTCATTTTTCTTAATTAATTGCTATGTGCCAGAAAATTCTAAGTATTTCACATATATAACTTCATTTAATTCTTAGAGTGAGCCCCATCTTTAGCACTCATCTATTATTTCAGAGAGAAAACTTCAACCCATCTTATGTTTAATGTAAATACTTTTTCTACTCAGTTCATGCTCCAATCAATCACCTGCTCCATTCCCAACACTTTCCTTTTTCAAAAACTTTTGAAAAATCAGTATTTGTTTTAGGTTAATAAGAACACACAGATGAATAAAAAGTAAAAAGGTAAAAATTACACTATCCTTCCACCCAAAAGACAATCACTGTTACTATTTGGATGTCTGTAATTCCAGAGTTTTTAGTGTCTACTTAAATATCTTATATTCTCAGAAAAATTGAATCATACTAAGAATACTCCTATCTAACCTACCTTTCTCACTTACCAGTGCATGATGAATATCATTCCCTGACAATATGGATTGCAATTGACATATTTATCTTACACCATGTGAATATTCCTTAATTTATGTAACCAATCCAGTGTTCTAAATTGTTTAAATTGTTTTCAATTTTTACTATTTCACACAGTGCTGGGATAAACAGCCTTGCACATACAATCTTTGGCCAATGATTCAATTATTTCCTTAGGACAAAGGGATTACATATTTTAAGGCTAATGATATGTATTACCAAATGGCCCTCTGCAAACCTCGTGCCAGTGTAAGCGAATTCCTACCACCAGGGTTTGAAAGACTCCATTTTTGCCATACTCTCATGGACACTGCTTAGTAGATGAGAGAGGGACTTCTATATGAATTCCAATTATTCTTTCTAGTCAAAATTATTCATTGGCTCTCAGCGTTCGGTGAGGTAATATTCAAACAGTTCTCCACAAACTGGCTTCAGCCAACTTTCCAAATTTATTTACTTCTGGTCACACTTTCCACTCTAAACAGACTAGTCTCCTCACTGTCACAGCAAAAGAATTCTTACCTCCATGCCTTTCTCACACCAGTCCCCTTCACTCCCATCACATGGAACTCCCTAACTACCTACCCCACTGAGGATTCATTTTAAATGAACACTTCTTCCATAAATCTGTAGCTGACTAATGTATCCCGCAGAAACCTTTGCTTTCTCATGCTCTGAGTGCGAATATTTAACAAAGAGTATATGCTTGAGATATTGTTTTCTTTTTGTTTGTATGTTTATCTCTCCAACTAGATTATAAACCGAAAGACAAGTATGGTTTCTCTTTTTTTTTTCTTTCCAGCATTAACACACAACTTCACTGATGATACACAAATGCAGTCAATGCAAATGACAGGAGGGAGCTTATTTATGAGGAATTGGTTCACTGTCACTTGTGCAGAAGAAATAGTAAAAATATTTCAATCTAGGCAGTGAGATAAAAAGCAACAAACGTTTTCAGAACAGGTAGTGATATTCATTCATCCAGCTTAGGCCTGCAGACCAACTCAGATAAATATCAGCATTGATGACACAATATGATATTCATTACTCAAAACCAGCAGCTGAAAGGATTCCTTTACCATATAGACAAGGTGGAGAAAAGGAATAGTTTACAACATGTGTTGCTTCTAAACTACAAAATCAAGAACTTATTTCTGGCTCTTTGGGAACATATTCTCAGCCAGTTTGGCCACGAATTTTCCAACTTTCACTTTTACCAAAAAATCATGATGACTTTCTAGCCCCAGAATCTTATCAGCACACACCTGAAATTCTTTTAAAAAGAAAAAAAGTGAACCTTCACCGAATTGATTCTGAGTAGATTCATTTTCCTCCCATTTAAAATTGTCATTTATGTTCTCGAATATGACCAGAAGTTTAAGAATCACCTCTTTGTTCTCCTTCTTATTAAAGAGGGAACCCAGCGAGGATGGTACTTGGGCCCCGAGCAGTTCTCTAGTCATGGCTGGATTTTCAGCCAAATTCAAAAGGAGTTTCAAAACCTGAAATTTGGTTTCTTCATTTCCTGCTGAAAATAGACGGAAAAAGTCTGAAATGGAATTAGCAAGCATGTGCTGATACTCATTAGTAACAGTCATGTTCGTGAGCAATCTTAGTCCTGCCAGCTGCACAGATGAGTTCAATCGAGAAGTGATTGTGTCATCACAGACTTGATTCATGTATATCTTAAGCCTGCGCTGATTTTCAGCATTCACACTCAAGTTATTTAGGACAATTAAAGCCTTTTCCTTAACTATGGGATCCCGAGTATTGAGAATCTTTGCAACAATTGGGAGACCACCCAGATCACGAATAATATCTCTGTTAAATGCATAAGCAGCATTGTTACCCAGAGCAATTAAAGCTGCTTCAAGAATATAAGGCTTTTCAGACATCTCAACCAAGCAAAGAACTTTCTGCAGCTCTTGAGGGGACAAAATAGTATCATCTGAATTGGGGGAAGCCCTTTTCTGGACAGCTCGACGAGCCCGGGTGGCCCTGGCCCTTGCCCTGGCCCTAGCTCTGGTTCCAGCCTCAGTCCCAATCCGGGCCCAAGGTGGGTACCATACTATACCTTTGTTCTCACTGCTGTCATCATCATCATCAGACCAGTCATTGTACCTGGCCCCAGGACAATCGCCAACATCATCCACATCCCCAGACCCACCCTCAGCCATTTTCTCCTTGTTCTGTTTTCTTCCTCTGGTCAGTCTATAAATGCAATAGCAGGCACCAGCCCCAATCACCAGTCCCGCAGTCACCCAGCCTACTTTCCTGGCGTAGCCCATGCAATCGTCCCTGACGGTATCAGGGACCAAGGAACAGAGTAGTCACTCAGGCTGGGGGAGGAGGGCTATGGGCCTGGCCTGGATGCAGGCCTGTGGAGGATGATCGTCTTCAGCCACTTCAAGGCCACGACAACTGATTCTGGAGGTGGATCTAGGGGTGGAGTTTCTCTTCTCCTTGTGTTGTCCTCTGCAGAGAGTTGCACAGAGGGACAAGCAAATGAGCTCTTGGTAGAAAACCTAGATTGTTAACAAACTCTTTCCCCCTCATTTCACTCCCCCCAGCCCACCTCCTCCCCAAGCCTATATAGAGGCAGTGGAGCCCATCCTCTTTGCTGGGGCCTCAGCTACCCCAAACTTGGATGTTCCCAGGGAGTGGCACCATTGCACTAACCTCCTCCAGACAAGCAGTTTGCCCCTTCTTCCCTCCCCTGGAGGTGTGCCACGCCCAACAACCCTTGCAACATGCAGAGAGACCAGAGCCAGTGAGAACTGAAGCCTTGATGGATTGACTGTTCCTCCATTTGTTGCTTTCCTGATTCACCTATCTAGGCTGTCAGATTGAAAAAAAAAACACACACACAACCTCTCTCTGCCATCCAAAACATGCACATGCCTGCCGCTTCCCTAGCCTGAAATGGGAGAGATGTTGGGGAAATAGTAACATTGGGTGAGCCTGTCCAACCGCGGGCAATTTCCAACCCCTCCCCCATTCCAGGCGGCCCCCACGCCCAAACCGACCTCTACTGATCCGAGGAAACTTCCTCCCTCGTTTAAACTGGTGCCACCTGCTACAGCAGACCTGCAGGATGACAGATCGAAAACATAGGGACTAAGTACTGTTGAGAGAAGAGGATTATGAACAAACTATCTGATAGGTTTCCCTTCTGTCATTCTCCCCCACCCCACCCCCCATGACACACGGGCGCGCACGCACACACACACACACTGCACGCCATTTCGCCACAGTCCCAAGAGTGTGACAAACACACTCAGACTCAGACCTAACCTAGATTATCGCTACCTCTGGTTTCTCCCCACCCCATCCTCCCACCGCCCCCGTTAGGGTCTCTAGATGGTCTTACCCTCAAATCGACCTTCACGAATCAGGGTTAATTTCCTTCCTCTTCTCTAGCCTGGCGTGGTGCCGCAACCTACGGAAAGACTGGCAACCCGGGAGAGGCTCGGATCCACAAGACACAGAGCCATGGTCAGGAAGACACAGTCACAGTCAGAAAGACGGGAAACTGCCGCGACCTAGTGCTTGGTGGACGGACCGGTCCCCAGAACAGAAAACTCTGTCCTTAATTCGGAGGCCTGGCTGTCAAAGGTTTCTCACCCCTTCGACCCCTCTCGGGGTTCTGCTGACACATTACGTTGCACCACCCCTCCCCATGTCCAGCCTTTCCCCTCTGGCACCGTCCTGGAGGACTGGGGGCCAACACCCAGGGCACAGCTCCCTTTCCAGATTACGGCCTCAGTTCCCACCAGATTCCCACGTTCCGATCTCTGAGCTCCTCCCAAACACCCCCTGCTCACCATTTCGCAGCATCAGAATGGGCTGCGGGCGGGACAGACGTCTTGGAAAGCCGGCGGCGAGTGGAAGAGACGACGGAGGCGCCCCAGGATCCGCGACGGTTTCCGCCCTGCACCCTCGGCCACCCCCACCTTCTGGAATCTCCCAGGCACTGACCTGCACGGATCCGGGACAATCTCCTTCTCCTCCTCCTTTCCTCTGCTGCAGGCCCGCTGGCCCTCGGGGCAATGGGGAGCTGATACTCAGACGGGAACAACGACCAGAACAAGAAGGACTTCTGCACACGTCAGCTCTTGGTCACGTGAGACCTACGTCATCCACCAACTCGGGTCCCCAATTTCCCCTCCCACCAGCAGTGCGGCAGAAGAGAGCCCGCCCCTGTCACTTCCCTCCCCCATAGCAGGCCTTGTTACTCTCTTTTTCTTTCCTAATCCCATCTCCCTGTAGTGGTGTTTACCTTCCTCTGATTACCAGAAAGGGACAGCATCTTCCCCTGGGGTTACTGGCCACTTGTACTTTTTGAAAAATTGCCTCTTCCTTCCCTGGACTCCTGGGACAGTAACCTCTCCTTCCACCTCCCTGCCTCCCAGCTATAAATGTCTACCATTTCCTCTGAAATCTAGTCCCAGATCTGAAAAGAAAAAGCCATCAGAAAAGGATACCTGGAGTGAATGCAGTTTTTTTCCTTACTTACAGTTTTGTTGTTGTTGCTGTTCTTTCAGTTCTGCCCTTTCCCACCCCCAGACTGCATTCTTTTTAGGAGAAAAAAAATGACTGTAAAGCTATTTTCATTTGGTTAAAAAAAAGAGTGGGAGAGTGATGTTGGGTGATGGCCTCCAAAAGTCCCACATTTTCTCACTTGTAGGGAGTGTTACACACTTCACTCAAAGCAATCTTAGTGTCTTCTGGGGCCTAGCACATAACACAATCCTAAATAAGCTCATCAGTGTGTCTGAGAATACATAAATCTGACTAGGCCAGTCTTCTAAACAAGAGAGCTATAGACTTTCACTTTCATCAGTTAGCAAGGCACAGGAGCCCTCAGAAGCCAGCTACACAGAAAAGGTTGAGTGGTAATCACAAGTATGTCATGGATGTCTGTCAGATAGGAGGCATGCACACTGACAAAGTGAGTGACATACAAAGAACATTACAAAATATACAAATGGACAACAGCGTCTTTAAATGAAGTAGGTGTTAGAGGTGTTAGACCAAGTCAAAAGTGGCTGAACTCAGCATCCAGCAATTAGTGTGAAACCTTTTCACTGACTGTATTGATGAATTCAACAACTCACCTGTCAGCAATGAGCGAACTTTTAAGAAAGTTCCCACTTTTAAGAAAGTGGGAAAAATAATAAAACAATGTCCTAACACAGGGTCTATAGTGTGATATGCCCTGATAGTTAAGATGTAAGTTTGTTATCTGAGTATAAAAATTTTAAGATCCACAGATCTTAAATCAAGAGTAAATCAAGAGACTGGGAAATTTGGGAACAGGCAAAATTCCAGAGAAATTCATATCAATGTAACTTCTGAAAAATAGTACTAGGATATGACTAAAATGTATTTTTTTCTTCCATTTTTATTGAGATACAATTGATATACAATACTGTGTAAGGTTAAGATTAACAGTCTTAACTGAACAGTTAAGTTCACGTATGACAGTCATTAAGATGACTGAAATTTAGTAAGCAGAAAGCAAATAAACTGTATGATTCTGTGTTTAGACAAAGATCATGTGCAGTGAAGGGGCTTATTCAAACAGGAGTATATGAAAAGAAGAGTCAGAGGAAAGTGTTGATAGTTCCCACCCAAGTACTGTCTGGAGGAGAGGGAGTCCTGGCTAAGATGCGTGGAAAAATTACTTTCTTTGGCAGAACCATCCCCATGATATGTAAGTGTACTTCAAGTTTCTTAGCTGAAAGCCACTTCTTAAAGTGCACCAATGCCCTTGTTCTGTGATTTCAGGCTTACCATGCAAGCTTCTGAAGTTATGGCTTCCCAAGTAGTAGCTTGCCAATGGGGAGAGAAGGGGCTGGTAAAACTAACAGAAACCTCTAGTACCCCTGACGGTTGTATTTCTCAGGATAAATTTTTCAGTTGTCATTTCCTTGTGAGACTTAGCTTCACTGCGGCCTTCTTACAGGGAGGGAATGCAGAGATCCATGGGTTTGGGCATTCAGATACAGATTTATATATGTCTCTCTGAATGAGAGTCTTTACTTGACACAGGCATCTGTTCTCACTATACAAATTCAGGTATTGATCATGAAGGGATGAGCACAATACTTTGTACTGTAGATGCGACTGCATAGAATCCTGTCAAGGAAGTCAGGTAGCTTTGGCCTAGAAGACAGCCTTGTGCACCACCATTTCAGAACTGCACCTCTCTAATATTCAGTGACAACTAAAGCATACTGTGGCAAATATACCCCCAGCACCTCAGTCACAGCTGGACAAAAGATGCATATCCAAAATAGTTAAAGCGCTCCTGCAAATCAACAATAACCTCTGAAACAGTTTACAGTTCTCTCTGGGAAAAGAAAGGATGTGCATTTCACATTTTACATGCCCTGTCATTTTCCACAGCAAAAGGGTGGGCATTGTGCCCAAAACAAACCAACTCAATACTTACTCTTACTGAAATTGAAACCTGAACAAAGATAGAAAACCAAACATCAGTGGAAGTTTATGGCATCCTGAAGAGACCATCTGTCAGTTCCTCCTACTTTGACACCTCAGAGCTGATGCTGGTCTTCGACATTCCCTCACTAAGTTAAACAGATGTGGTTTCTGTTGCTTGCAATCAAATAAAATTAACTAATACACAACACAAAAACAACATGATACAAAAAGTAATACAGCTTTTAAAGATAACAATTTTCTATTATTTATTTTTCTTACCCTCCAAAATTCCATCAGTGTTACCATCTGCTGATCCTTTTATGTTTTTGAATACTTTATAAATCATGCATCATATATGACCATAAACTGATTTGAGCCAAAAGGTTCCTTTTGACAGTGAACTCACATAGTCTTTTGAAGACTTGTCTGAGGGATTGCTTAAGGATTTTCCCTTTTTGCTTTTGAAAATGGTATGTCAGGCAAATAGCATGTCCTTAAATAAATATTTGTTGGTGGGTGTATAATGGAGGGAAAATAGATTTTAAATGTCAGTCCCCAGGTTCCTTGGTAGGAATTGTGGATCAAAATGACACAGAGAATTCGAAAGATTATCATTCCCATGGGATTTAGGAAGTTTAAGAGAGGGAGTGGATCCAAATAGGAAAGATCTGAAAGCCTGGGAGAATGGTGGTCAGGGGTTATACATTGGAAAAATTGAAAAATATACTGAAGGGGAAAGATATTTTTAACAAATGAGGAGAGGTAAGAGTGGAGTTTTTGTCCCTGAAGCATGGCTAAGTAAGAGTTGTGAAATGAGTCCTTATTGTAGAGCCACGTCAATGACACCTGTCTTTCTTAAGTTTTACATGCTCTGCAGTTCTTTCTAATGTACAGATAAAAGCCACTTTTTAAGTTCTTAGCAGCCAAAAGTTGAATGATAGTTAAATCTGCAAGTTCTGTTAGTAAGGCTTCATAAATATAAATCACTTCCCTTGGAGAAGTAAAATAAAGGATAAAAAGAACAGTGTAAGGAGATGATGGCAAAACAAATGAGTTAGGGGTTTAGAGAGATGAGTTGTAATGTTGGTGTGTTTGAACTATAAATGTTTAAGGAAGACCAGAAAGTTGTGATGTGTTCTTGACTTGTGAATTTTTCACCAGCAAGGCACTCTGGGCTTCCTGGTTCACCTCCTGAAAGGGCCTCCCCCACACAGGGGCCCCTCACCCAGGGAGTTTCCTGCTGGAGTGTCACATTTCAATGTTCTAAGAAAGAGGCTGCCTGAAGGGTTTATATTTAGAGCATGACTCCCCAGCGGGGACAGCTGGATGTCTGGGAACTAAGTTCTGCAGACTTTGTCACTACCTTCTGGGATTATTCTGAGGGATTTGTATAGATGGTACAATGAAATTGTAACAGAAGAGAGAGGGTGAAAAGACCTTTTTTTCCTGGCAACACTGCTTGGGGTCCTATGAACTGTGCCTTTTGTGAGGGAAAAAGGACGTGGATCTCAAAGGCTGTCAGGTTGTTGCAGCGATTTACAGTCACCCACAGACCCTCACCATTATTTCCACTGGAAAAGGCTCAACACCAGGCACTGCTAAGGGGACATACAGTGCACAAATGACAAATACCGCAGGTCTTTCACCAGTGTCGTGATCAAATGAAAATTCCACCTATCATTTTCATCAATGGGCTAGCAAGGAATTCTCTAATTTCTGGATGATTTATGGATTACACCATGAAACTTGAGAATAGATTTTAAATAAAGAGCTTTGAATGAAGAGCAAGCTAATCTGTGAAGTTACTAATTTGTAAGACATAAGATTCATTGGAATTTGGGGTCTGCAGAGAGTCTGTCCTTCAAAATCAGAATGGAAGCCATCCAGCAGTCTTCTTTAACAAGTAACAGTTCAGCCAAGAAGAAAGGGATAGTGGTTCACTTCTCTAAACTGGTAACAATTAAAACACTGACCAATTTACTATAGATTCATTTTATCCATCAATTTATAAATCATATTGAAAGCACACTGGCTTTGTTTGTAAGGGTATGTTTTTAAAGTTTCATATGCTATTTGAAAGCTGCTATCTCCTCTGCAGTCAGAAGAAAATATTTTCAATGTACAAATTAGCTTAAATTGATGAGGCCTTCATATTAACTAGGAAATCTTGTTTTATACACACACACATATATATATTTGTATTTTCTGACTACAAAATAGTAACTTGAGTCAATTAAGAAAGAATGGAAGAAATAGAATATAAATATATTAAAAATAGTAAAAAAAAAAAAAAAAACTCCCTGTTACTTGGGCTTTTTTTCCCTGCCCCTCTGCTTAATTTTGATGCAGAGACTGCATGTGCGAAGGGGTAGAAATGAAGAAAGAGGGGACAGGAGTTTCAGAGCCAAAGAAACGGTAAGACATTCCCCTCAAAAGAAGTGTAAGTAAATGATAGACCCAGGAAAAGTGTTGCCCTTTTCTGTAATTAGAGAAAGCCAAATGCAAACACCAGAGAGCCACGGTCACTTCTGGCTTCTGGTATTGTTACACAGGAAAAGAGTGACAAGGCCCCTTGTGATGGGGGGAGGTACGGGGCAGGCTGGCGCCTGCCGCACTGCTTGTGGGAGTGGAAATTGGGGGCCAGAGCTCACTGGTGACGCGGTCGTCACGTGACCAGAGCTGCCTAGAGCAGAAGTACTGCTAGTCGCCTCCGTCTGGGTACCAGCCCCCCATATCACTCTGCTGGTGCAAAAGGAAGAAGGAAAGTAGCCACGGGCGTTGCAGGTCGGTATGAGCGTGGGTTTTGCTTGGAGGGAGATGGGGCTTGGAGAAGGCCCAAAGCGCCACGGATCCAGGTTCCGGCATGCAGGGGTCTGTGTCCCCTTCTCGCCTACTTTCTAAATACTGCCGTCCCCCTCCTCATGCCCATTTTCGTGGAAAGAATTGGCGGACTTCGGGCGGCGGGTGAGGGAAGTGAATGGCTGGTACAGAGACTCCGAGGAAAGAAAGGTTCTAGGATCAGGGCACTCGTGTCCCGAGTGCTGCTACGTCCACCAAGCACTCCGTTCCCTCTGTCTCCCTCCCCCACCCCCCACCGTCTGTCTGCAGGTTTGTAGATCTGTTGGCCTGTAGGTCGCCAGGGAAAGTCGTGGCGACGGAAGGACCGAAGTGCCTTGGGACCGTGCAGGTCGGTGTGAAGGTGGGATGAAGCTTGGCCCCTGGGTGGGGGTGGCGGTGGGGATGAGGGAGGGGGCCTGGGATCGCTGCGGGCGGGGTCTGAGCCGCTCTCTCCAGGCCCCTTCCTCCATACCCCCTCCCATTTCGGCTCAGGGAAAGGGGTGTGGCGGCCTTTGCTGGGGAAATGGCGGACGACAAGGGGGAAGGGGTGGGGAAACCAGTGTTAGTAAAGTCAGGAGGGTGTGAGAAATATTTTAAGCTCAAAGGCTGGAAATTCAGAAAAGGGACCTGTGTTCTCATTGCTGATCCATCCACTACACTTTAGTTTTCCAAAGCCGGCTATCTGTCGTTCCCTCTGTCCTTCTGCCAGACTGCCCATCAATCACTGTGGGAGGACCACTGACCACAGAAGACAAGAGAAGAAGGAATTTACTGGCTTTGGTAGAGGTTGGTAGGTGAGACTGCCTCTAAGTCTTTGGGGCTGGGGGTGTGGTGGAGGAGGAGACTACCAGTCACCCTCCTGGCCGTTATAGCCCAGTCCCAACTCCTGCCCTTCCCTGTAGGCCCTGGGAGACAAATGGTGGGTCCTGAAGGGAGACAGAGGATGACAGAAAAGAACAAAGAACTGGTGGCCAAATAATCCGCCTCTCTCAGCCAGAACTCAAACTCCACTCTGTCTGTCTCGTGAGGCAAAAATCCAGGTATTGCCAAAAGCCCTAATATAATTTTTCACCCATAGATTCATCACAGGAGAGCCTCAGGAGCCTGGAATAGGCTGAAGCTGACTCCCCTCCACCATCACTCACCCTGGCCTTAAGAACCCTCTTCTTTCAGGTGAAACAAGACCCTCTCCTGTTCTGTCCTACCGCACCCCACCACCCCTCCCCGCCCCCAGCTGAACAGACCTAAACATGGGCCGGGCTCGGGAAGTGGGTTGGATGGCCGCAGGACTGATGATTGGGGCTGGTGCCTGCTACTGCGTTTACAAACTAACCATAGGAAGAGATGACAGTGAGAAGTTGGAGGAGGAGGAAGAGGAATGGGATGATGAGCAGGAACTGGATGACGAGGAATGCGAGATTTGGTTTGATTTGACAACTATGGCACGGCCCTGGAGTGAGGACGGGGACTGGACTGAACCTGGGGAACCCGGTGGTGCCGAGGACAGACCTTCAGGTGGGGGCAAAGCCAGTCGAACATACCTGATAAAACAGCGCCCGTTCCCTTATGAACGCAAAAATACTTGGAGTGCTCAGAGCTTTAAAAATTTCAGTTGTGCTCTTGGCCTCTCCAAGGGCCCTTTCATTCAGGGAAAAGTGTTGTTAGCTGAGCCCAAGGATGCCAGTTTTTCACTTAGCCGTGATATCAACAGTGATTTGGCCAGCCTCTCCATTGCTGGAAACACAATCCCGACTCCCGACCCTGCTGTTGAGGAGGGAAAGGCTTTGTGTGCCCCGGATAACTTGAATGCCAGTGTTGAAAATCAGGGCCAGATGAAGATGTGCATCAGCCAAGTGTGTCGGGAGACTGTGTCACTTTGCTGCAGCTCATTTCTGCAGCAGGCTGGATTAAATTTGTTAACAAGCATGACAGTTATTAATAACATGCTTGCCAAGTCCGTTTCAGGCTTGATGTTTCCTTTGATACCAGAGGGAAGTGAATGTGCTGAGGGGCAGGTTGTGAAACCCCTGACGGGTTTGTCTGAAAAGCCAGCCTTGTCAGGGGAGTTGCTGAGAGCCCAAGCGCTATGCCCCTTCCTGCCCCTCTTTATCAGGAACACAAACAGACAGCTTCTCTCAGAAACCCTGGCCTCTTAAGTGGCCCCTCCAACAGGGTGGGACTGATCCACTCCAAAACAAAGCCCAGTCAATGGGTGAACACACACTTGTGTTCTCAAAGACTCTGCAGTGGGTGCTATCGAAGACCCAGCCTTAGCTGGATCAGCACATCTCTGGGTAAAAGTTGCACTTGCTAAATCCAGGACCACACTCTTACTGTGCAGGGGTTCCCACAGAGCTTTGAGTAACCTCTTGGTTTTTCAGTCTGCAGGCAATGTGCATTGTAAATTGCTCCCTTGCAGCCTTCTTCCTGTGGTAAAGAGGTCCTTTCAGCTGCCAGCTGTGGTTAAAGAACAACACGTTCTAGCCTCAGTGGGGATGCCTGGCCTGTGGTGGTCTCTGTGTCTAAGCTGGACCATGTTGGGGAGACCAGACCCATATGGGGGCTTGTGCCAAAAACGTATCAGTTGCTGCTTAGATGGGATTCTTTCCCTTTACTCTCTTTTCTTTGCAAGCCTATGAACGATACTTATTGAGCAAAAAAGTACACTCCTCTTCTATGTGCTGTACTGACTTAACCTCGTCCACCAAGTCTGCATTTTTATGTATCATCAATAAAGCTGTGTGCTTTAACTGGCAAAAATGAGACACGGTACTTGTTTCTGAATCTCTAGTCTGCGTGAGGGGAAAGACCAAAATACATGATCTATGCTAACTGACTGGGGGCATTTGCTCCTGACAGATGCCCACTTAGCAGTGCCCATAGGAGGCTGGGGAAGAGATGGGCTGCAGGGTTCAGGAGGAGCCTCCAGAAGGGGCTGGAGCAGGGAAGGGGGTGAGGGGTAGGATTAAGGACTTTTGGGAGGACTAGAAGAGGCAACACCTTGAAGCAGGCAGCACAGTGCCTGATGCAGAGAAATCCTTCCCTCGATGAAGGTGTCTTTCCTCACCTGCTGGCCTAGAGAGGAAGGTCAGTACCCTTGGGTTGGTCTGTGCGTCCCTGTCGTCCCACTGGGCAACCCATCCCTGACATTTAATGCACAATTATAGCAGTAACAGTTGCTACTTGCTGAGGGCCTGCTTGGTGTTGTTCTCTCTCCTGAGAAGCAGCTGTGCAACCTACTTGCAGGCCTCCTCCCTTCCTTGGGAGACCAAGCCCAAATTCCTGGCCGAGCGAGAAGGCTTGGCCCTTGCTTCCTCTGGGGAACCTCTTTTCTGCCCTCTCCGGGTACTTCTGTGGGATCCAGGAAGGAGACAATGGAGACGTCCACGGATCCCCGAGGGGGTGGGAGGGCAGATGCTGAGGGGCGTGGCATGGCCATGGCCGGTCCACCCAGAAGGACACATGTTCATGCCGTCCATGCAAGCTTCCCTGGGAGGAAAGGAAGAATGTGACTCTGCACACTGAAAGCTCCATGAATCTGTGCAACTCATTCCACCGCCCCTGCCCACATTTCCAGACCCCTCCCAGCAAGCCTCAGCCCCGGGTCAGCAGGTTCCCTGGGTGTTTTGATGTGTCATGAAGTGGTCCTCCTCCTCAAAGGCCAGGCTCACGTAGGGGACAAGAAGCTTCCTTTGAGCAGTGCTTCCTGTGAGCCCAGTGCCTTCTCCTGGTCCCCCTGGGGTGTGGCTCTGGGGCACTGTGCCCTGGTCATCAGTGATGTCCCCGTGTACTGCCTTCTGAATGCCCTTGACCGTGCAGAGCACAGTTTTATTTCAGTGTTTCCCTCCCTTCTCCTGGAGACTGGGGCAGGGGGGTGCAGGTGGGGTGCCACTCTCCTGCTTGTACTCATTCCCCCCCACAGTTTGGGCTGCCTAATGATCATGGGGGCCTGCCAGAACTCTGCCCCTTCCTGGGCCCTGGCGCCTTGCTGGCCAGCATGTGACTGTGGTTGCTGTGACACCACAGCCCCAAGCAAGGTTCACCAGGCTGGGGCTTCGTTTGCTGGCTCTGGGGCCCTGTTTTCTAAGAGCTACTTACCTGATCCTCCCTGAGCCAGCCTCAGGTGGGCGGGGCAGTCTGTTTCCCAGGCAGGACTGCCCTCAGGCAGCCCCTCATCCACTTGTCCAGTGGAGCCTGCTGGCCAGGGGCATCTTCAGCAACACCTTATTGCTCAGCCTCAGTGATCTCTGCCCTAACCACAGCATTTCTGCTTGCTCCTGGCTTGGCGTCCCAAATGACCACGTGCTTCCTTCCTCCTCTGCACTCTGCAGAGTCCCCGCTTGAGTCCCGCCACAGGCAGTGCTCCACCACCTCCGAGGCAGGCACTAGGCCCTCTCAGACCACAACTCACTCCGATCTCAGGCAGGGCCTGGGAGGCCTCTGCCCACCTCCTGAGCACCTTTGTCACTGGACAGCCTGCCAGCCCTGAAGTGTCTCCATGGTGGGGTCTTGGCCCAAGTCACGACCCCTCTCCATGAGCTGGCACTGCCCTCCCTGAAACACTCCCTGTGTGGGGAAGCTCCGGGCCCTGGCTGGCCTCAGTTGCCCTTGGCCGGCTGCTGTGCCAGGGCAGGAGCCCAGTTCCCCGTAGGTTCTGCCTTCAGATGTGGAGGGACCTGGAGCGATAGGCATGCCTGCAGTCAGGGCCTGAGGAACACAGTCAGAGGCTTTCAGCACTGGAAAGACTAAGGAGCCTGCCACCCCTGCCATGCTTAATTCAAAAATGAGACAGCAGGGGACCACCCAGCACAAACTTAGGCCCACCTGTCTGCTACAATCCACCGAGTTTCTTGCTGGGTTTCCCTGTGGCAAACATTAGCCCGGGTTCTCAAAGCTTGAGCTTATCACACTCTGTGGGGGGTGCCTGCCTTGATGGGACTGCCCCAGCCAAAGCTGCGTCTTGGGTAAGTCTGGAAGTGCCTCCACACACTGTCTTCCAGCCGCTCCAGAAGGAGCCCTGCTTTCCCTTCTTCATCATTATCTTGTCTACATTTGTGCCTGTAGGTACGAACTTTTACACCAACTTCCAGTACCCTCCCAGCCTGCTTCCTGTCCTGGGAACTTTGTTATATGACCCCCTCCCACCCCACCCCTCCCTGACATGAGCCCAGGTTGGGTGGCTTGCAGGCATCCAGCTTCCTGCCTGGTACACCCCCTGCATCTCCCACACTGCATCCCCATGGGGCCCTTCGTGCCACGCTTGAGGCAGTTCCAACCACAGTGCCCTCTCTTTGAAGTGTCACTGGGGACAGGCACAGCCCTCACCAAGTCAATCTCTCTGCTGGACCACCACAGCACTTTTGGTTAAGAGTCTGACAGCGGTGTGGAGCACTGGCCCCCGCCTCTCTCCTGGGGCAGTACTTGGTCTAAGATGGGATGGGCACTGTAGCACAGCCCTGCCGGGCATCGGCCAGTCCCTTGTCTGATCCTCATGCCACATGCATCACCTCACTCTGTCTCACACACACACACACACACACACACACACACACACACACACACACACACCCTTCACTTTGCTCAGGCCCTCCTCTTCCCCAGAAGGCTCATTCTCCCTTATTGCTTCTTGCTTTTGTGTGTGGCTTAGGATGGCCTTCCCCATTTCCCCTTTACAAAAGGAGTCTCCTCTGTGGCTTCCTAATTCTTTCTTACCTTTGCACTTCAAGGCTTGTCTCAAGGATATACCTGGAATTTCCTCTTGTGCAAGGTGGGAGCTGTCATCCAAACTGACTCCTTTTCCAAGCAGATAACCTGTCAACACGGCACCACTTATCACTCCATTCTCATGATACAGTTGGTGCCTCTGGGACCTCATGCCCCCAGCTGAGCAGCCCCTCTGTGGCTTCCTGCTGTGGAATTCCTCTTGGGGCACACCCCTTTCTCCCAGGAACCCCTCACTGACTCAGGGACCCTCTGGGTTACTGGGTCGTCCGTGGCAAGTGGGGTGTGTCTGTTGTCAGGGAGGGTGTGCTGGTGCTTGTGAGCAGGTATCAGGTATCCTCTGATACCATCTCAGGATGCATTCTGGTCCACAGGAAAGTTAGGAACCCCCTGCCCTGCCTGCTTTAGCGACAAGCAAAATGGGACTGGTTTATTCCCTCACCAAAACTGCCTTATTTTGCAAGAGAAAGCAAGTTTATTTTCTATATATAGACTTGCTCTACAATTTACACTGTAGTCATTGTCCACATTTGAAATAAGGCTATTGTTACATGTTGAAATCACCATGGTTTCTTTCAGCACTTCCCTTGATTTTCCTTTTGTGTGATGTATTTGGTCATTCAGGAATTTATGATTTCTGTGCCTTTCAGTGTTTTTCTGTTGAACTCTATATTTTTCTTTTACTCAGGACACTCTTTGACAGCCCAAGGTTATTAGAAGACATTGACTGTATTTCCTTCTAATACCAATAGTTTGCTTTCAAAGTAAGCTGCTTTGTTAACCTACTAGTTGTTTGTGTTTGTGTGCATGTGTGTGTAAAAACTGCCTTATTTTGCGAGAGAAAACATGTTGAAGCACAGTGTGTTTTTTGTACTATTATAAACATATTATATATTCTATCAATTATGATTTTGTTTTCTTATATAGTAAAAATTATCTTTCAGAATGTGTAGTCATACAGAAGTAAAGGCAAAACACTTTTTGCCTCTTTGTGCATATGTTGTGTTTGCATGGGAAAAATTCAATTAAAGACTCATTTTTATGTCTTTTGTAGCTTTTGAATTTTGTACATATATACATATATATTTCCATCAAAAGTAAATATAATAAGAAATAATTTTTCCTGGTTTTTATAAAAACTTTTGATGTAATATTGTTTCAACAGTCAAGTTTCTTTGGTGAACTCTCGTATTATATTTATTATTTTGCCTCTTTTTTCTTTCTGACTTTTCAACTAGACAAACATAGTTTAAAAATTATGATATTTTTATCTCTCCTTATTCAGTAATTTATAGCTCATTTCTTTTTCTTATCTCATTGCACTGTCAAGGACCTCCAGATCAACAGCACTGATGATAAACTGCATACTTGTCATGTTTCTGATTTTAATGACTGATATTTCAGCCCTAAGTTTGATGTTTGTTGTAGGTTTTTGAATAATATAATAAGTCATCTATCTATTGAATTCATAAAGCAGTAAAAATGGGTGAACAAAATCTCTACAGCTCAGTCTAGATATCTCAGACACCTGAAGTTGAGTGAAATAAGCAATTTGTAGAAAGATACAATATAATGTCATTTATATAATTTTAAGATTATAAAACAATAGTATATATTCTTTTAGATACATATATTTATAGCAAAATTAAAAATGGTTACTGAAAGATGCACATCAATTTTATAATACCACTTGCCTTTGGTAAGGGACTGAGGAAAATGTGACCCTAACAATTTTGTAGTTTAATTTTATCTATTAACAAAGAACTTATAAACAAATACAACAGAGCCTTAATGTTTGCTGTTAATTATGGATGACTTATATATAGATCCTCATTATTTTTTCTCTGTATTTTTCTTTTTTAATTGAAAATAAAGCTGTGTTTTGTGCTCAATACAATTAATTTACAATTAATTTTAATTTAATTAAAAAGAAAGCTGTTTTTTGTGCTCAATAGAATTAAAAACCTCACGTAGACATATCCCCAAGAAATTTTAGAATAATAAAGATTAAAAGGTAACCTCAAACTTTCTCAAGGGTGGGGATAAAGTCATCTGCAAAGCAGACTGGCATCAGACATGTTATTCATAACACTGGATGTGATATCTCAATGTGTAAAGGCCTTCAGATTCTTAGAAAATGAGCTTTTCTCTAGTATTCTATTTCTAAACAGACATACCTACATATCACATAGGTATGTGATGACCATAAAGATATTTTCAGGACTGAAAGTACTCAAATTTTGTCTCTTGTGGACCTTCTCTTAGGAAGTTACTTGAACTTGCACTCTAAGTAAAAAGGTAGTAATCAAGTCCAAGGTAAATATTGAATCAAGGAAATAATGATCACAACTTGGGAATGCAATAAAGGTGAGTTTTAAGATGACAGCTAAACAGCAGGCCCTGGTTGACCAGACCAAAGTGGAGTAAACGGACAGAGGATTTGGGGTAGTGGGTGAACAAACAGGAACTTGTTAAAATCAATTGAGTGTGTGATATAGGCAAATAAGGGGGAAAAGTAACAATTAGAATGACCTCTGAGAAAATATTACAGTAATAGCTACAATGAACCATGCCTCCTTGTTACCGTAGAAGAAAAGAAAGTAAAGTCGCTCAGTTGTGTCCAACTCTTTGCAACTCCATGAGCTGTAGCCTGCCAGGCTCCTCCATCCATGAGATTTTTCAGGCAAGAATACTGGAGTAGGTTACCTTTTCCTTCTCCAGGGGATCTTCCCAACCCAGGGATCAAACCTGGGTCTCCCTCACTGAAGCCAGGCTTTTTACTATCTGAGCCACCAGGGAAGTCATATCATTGTGTAATCCCCTCCTGCATTGAATCTGGGCCTGAACATGTGATTTTCTTTGGCCAGTTCGAACATTAGAAAACATGACCCACAAAGAGGCTTGAACAGTGAATTTTCAGTGGACATTACACTCTTCCTGCTCTGAAACCACTATGTGCTAAGCAGATTGGTCTGCTAGAGGATGAGTCCATGCAGAACAGACATGAACTGTTCCAACTGAGGAACCCTAGGAAGAGCTGCCAGGTAAAATACAGGACTCCCAGTTAAATCTGAATTCCACATGAACATAAAACATTTTTTCAATATAAGTATGTCCCAAATATTGCATTGGGCATACTTATAATAAAACAATGATTAATTATTTATCTAGAGTTCAAATTTAACTGGCATCCTGTATTTTTATTTGCTATATCTGCCAACCTTAGTTATTATACAAGAAAATCAGCCCCCAACTGATCTGCCAGCTGATCTGACTCCAGTTACATAAATGACCTCAGGCAAGACTAGCAGAAGAACCAACCAGTGCAAATTCCTGATACGCAAAATAATGAGCAAATAAGATGGTTGTTCTAAGCTACTGAGTTTTGGAG